ACTTCATCAGAATGATCTTAACTGTTCATATTTCTACCAACATTCTGATCACAACCACTACAATAATATCTAAAAATGAGGCTACCATGTTTCTCCTAAGCCCTTACCAGAATTGTTTCAAACAAATGCTGTCTACAGAATTCAAATTCTGCTACTCCTTTCTTTCCTTCCTTCCTCTTTCTTTCACTCTTTTACTCCCTCCCTTCCTCTTTTTCTTTCTTTTTTCCTTCCTAGCATTCACTTCTAAACTGCTCTGCATTCTACCCATTACCTACACCCAAAGCTGCTTTGGTTTTGGTACTTGTTATTGCAACTCCCCACTCACCTGGGACCAATTTCTGTCTTAATTCATTTTGTACCACTATAACAGAATACCTGAAACTGAGCAATTTATAACAAACAGAAATTTATTACTCACAATTCTCAAGTCTGCAAGGTCAAGATCAAGATGCTGGTATCTGGCAAGGGCTGTCTGTTACCAAGATGGTTCACTGAATGCTGTCCTCTGGAGAGGAGGAATACTGTATCTCCACATGGCAGAGAGCAAAAAATGACCACACTCCCTCTATTAGGCCTTTGGTGATGGCATTAGTTCATGGTGGAGTTCTCATGATCTAAACACCTTCCAAAAGGTCACCCCTGTTGTTACCTTGGGGACTGAGTATCTAACACATGAATTTTGGGGGCACATTCAGACCACAGGAGCTTGGCTCCTAGACAGGGGGATGAATGGGTGACTAAACAATTCCTATGTCTCCCCAGCATCAGCCTAGGCCCGAGCACACAGGAAACACAAATCTGTAGCTGAGAGAATGTAAGCTTCGTAATGCTCTCTGAAATTTGTGTTGGAAATCTGTGAGCATACAGGATCTGTTGGAAAATAACTGATCTAATCATGACCTTATCAAACTTTAGGAAATGTCATCCACCAGGCTCAGGAACATTAAGTTTAATATTAGGTGAACCAAATGAAATGGCCAATTATTTGGCAATTTCTTGTTACCTATGAAAATTAAATATGGACCAGTCTAAATCAAAGTCTGCTTATTGATTCATTTATTTTTGGTAACAGGGCATTGAACCACTGAGCCAGAACCCCAGCCCTTTTTATTTTTTGAGACAGAGTCTTGCTAGGTTGCTTAGGGCCTTGCTAAGTTGCTGAGGCTGGCTTTCAACTTGAGATCCTCCTTCCTCAGCCTCCAGAGCCACTGGGATTACAGGTATGTCCACGCCTAATGAAGCTTGTTTATTTTTAAGAAGAGAAAGAAAATAATAAAGCAATTCATTAAATCAAAACCCAATGGTCAGGCTGGGAATGGGCTCAAGTGGTAGCACGCTTGCCTAGCATGTGTGAGGCACTGGGTTCGATTCTCAGCACCACATAAAAATATATTGTGTCCACCTAAAACTGAAAATTAAAAAAAAAAAAAAAAAAAACACCACCACCAACAACAAAAACCCCAATGATATTGTGAAAAACTGCAATCTAATGGTCAGGTAAGAATCCATCCTAAAAATGTCACCCCCAAACAGGATAGCTTAAGGATAAGACATCTTTTCCTTTTAATCAAGAAAGAGGCAAAGGTTTAACAACCTTCTCTCACTGTATAAATTGTAGTGGGTTCATGAAATTTTTTAAGTACAAAAGGTGTTGTGACATCTAAATCTTATTGGGATATTATTTTTAGTGATTGGATGACTTAGAATGAAGACTCCTCAAGTCCTACTACTGAGTCCATTGTGCTTATTTATACATTGGTTTTATTGTCAGCAGTGGGCTAACTGGAGATCAACTTATGCCTAAAAGCATATTTAAAAAATAACAACAGCATCAAGGAGCAGGATTTTGTTGAATTTCTTTCTGGCCACTTTGTTTCTGTAAACAGTTTTCAGCCATCTAGCACTGAGAGGATTCCTGAAGGTAATGTGCAATTCTTGGGCCACATTCATAAAAACAAAAAGCACAAATAAATATTATTCTTGATTTACCTGCTCTGCTAATTTGGAACAAGGGTCCTATGAGAAAACCCTTTTAATCACTTTTAATCAACGCTTAACATCATTTGGGGGGTTTGAGATGTCAAGAAATTAGGGCATGCACTCTGTCTATAACACACTGCCCCTGAATATCCTTTTAGACATCTTAGACAATAGTCTGAAATGGCATCCAAGCTTATCAGCAAGCATTCTCTATTTAAGAGAAAATGGAGACACTTTTATGAGTGTGGTCAAAACATGACTATTCAATAAAATAGAAAATATCTAAGACTATTTTCATGAAATCTAGTGGCACAGCACATACTCATAAAACTGGGAAGCTGGTTGAAAACATGATGAAGTAAAAATCAGCATATTTGTGAGTTATGCAAATAAATGAAGCTCTACCACCAGAAGCAATTCCTCCCAACAGGCATCAGCAAGTTCACCGAAGTAGGAAAAACCAAGTGGCAAAGGAATCACTTACCTCTAAATGCAACATGCCAGAGACCTTCACACGTTAGAAACAGAGCTGGCTCAGCATTTCCCTAGAACAGAAGATGTGTCCAGTTTCCACCCCAGTTACGGATAATAGGTACTCTCTAATGCCATCGTTGAATCAAGTGCTTGAAGGGACTTTGAGGACCCTGTGGGTGCTCTGGGCTGGGCAGCTGCTCCTGATTAAAAGCTGAATAGGCAGGCAGCACGAGCAGGGAGGAGGGGGTAGTGGGCGTCCATGAGACTTGATGCCTTTTATCATATAAATATGAATAATGCCTTTGTCAAAGTGTATCAAGAGAATTGAGGTACTTTATGTGGTTGGCCTATGTAGTAAGTTCCTAATGTGTATGTGCTCTCAACCTTCTGATTTCTGTTAAGCTGAATTTTACAATGTTAAAACTTCTCCCAATATGTGAGATTTCTATCCTTTGGGCTAAGAAGAACTCCTCATCTATTCAAATACAGGAAGGCAGGAATTTTATTAGCCTGGAGATTTCCCTCAACCATTCCTTTTAGATTTCACCCTCCATCCTTGGTCATTGTGAACCAACTACAAGATGGAGTTGGGACTAACTAGAGTTTGGCTAGCTGACTGCTCCGTCTACAACTCAATCTGCCTATCAGATAATGGAAGGGTAAAACCTTGTCTTTATGGTTAGGGTATGCGTGATGCCAAGGAGCGTCAAGGTAAAGAAATACAAGACGAGGTTATGGGTTTTTCTTTTCACTTTTATTCAAATAAATACAACACTTGTACATAGCTAGTGTACCTGGATTTCCAGATGTGCAGTGCTGTGGTCAAAACATGACTATTCAATAATTTGAAACAAGTACTTTGGACACACAGGCAAATAGCTGGGTTTTTTTGGTCAAAAAACGACAGGAAAAAAAGCGCTGTGGTGTCACTTGCCCACTGAGGTTGATGGAGGCAAGGACAAGCATTTTTTTTGGTAAAAATCTTATTTTTATAATGTAACTCTGGATAAAATGCGATTGCTTCCTTTCCTTCTTTCCAAGGGTAGGCACTTGCAACATGGGACATTTCAGGAGTGGGCAAGCCGGTTTGTCAATGGCTGTTGAATTTGATTTCCTAAGAAAATTCAAACAGTGTGGAAGAAGACCACAGCTAGCCTTTGCCATTGGAGTTAGTGAGACTGATAATAACTAAAATATTTTCTGATGTGCTAGACCCATAATTCAGAAATGAAGGAGCTAGAGAAATTTCATTCATTTTAAATTAGTCTTGCTTCCCCTGAAATTCCATCTTGAAAATTAAGTAGTAGATTCTTTAGTTTGAAATTGGTCTGATTAATATGACTTTTGCTCAAAAAATTAACATCCTTTCCATGGCTTGGCCTTTTCTACTCCCATATATTAATTTAATTTAAATAAAAATTATGGCTTCAAGTGCTGATTGATAGTTTGGCCTATAAGACATGAGTTTGGGCAGTCACCCTTTCTTATCTGAAGCCAGTTAGGGTGAATGCAACCTGGGATCAAATTCAATTTCAAAACGGTAATTCTCATAGTAAAAAAGCGGCCAAAGACAGAGGCCTGAGACAAGTGGGCCTGTGAAAGCCACACACCATTTGGGAGTGTGGGGCCTGTGCCGGGCCATTGTCTGTGTGGATGGGGTATTAGCACAAGCAGGCCGGCCCAGCCCTGACCGCTTCTGGCTCTGAGTCGCCTTTGCAGAGAGGTTGTTGGAACTGGAGAGAGCAGGGCTGGCATGGAGCCCTGCCCCAGCACGACTGTGCTTTCTGTGGAGTCCCTAGGAGGACAAAGGCAAGTCCTACTCCTTAGCAACTTCCTACACTGCCCACTCTGATCCCACTTCCTCTGTGAAGTGTGATTTGGCTCAGCAGGAACTCAGGGAGTGGGAATAAGGCCTGGTGTGTTGAGAATTGCTCCTGCTTCCTGCGACGGCCAAGGCTGAGAGGTTATTTGGGAGCCCAACAAAGGGCAAGCCCACTTTCTACAAGTAAAAAAATCACAGTCACTTCACAGTCTATCCACTAAAGTAAAACTAAATTGCTTTGAAAAATAATACACTTTGAAACTCTTTGACACATTTATAAAAAGAAAAACCAAGAAATTTCAAACAAAGTTTTAAAAAGTCCTTTAAAAATGTATTAATAGCCTCCTTAGTAACAAATATAAAACAGTTTAAGACACTTGGTGACTTTTCTTAGGTCATGTGTCCAGGGGGATGCATACACAGTGAGGTTTTATGACTAAAATTATCTATATGGTAAAATTTCTAGGAAAAGTTCCATCAGGAAAATAAATGTTTTGGAAAGAAGAGTTACTTTTTCCCAAAATGTCAAAAAGAATTAAGGATGTAAACACACATACTTAAAATGTTAACACAACAATATCAATTCAGTCAAATAAATAAAAGAAGGTGGCACCGACTTTATGGCAATTTTTCAAGACTAAGATGTAGCTCAAGGATATTTTAAAATAAATAATTGCTCCAAATAAGAATAATCATTCTTAGCACAAGCCAACAACATTCAAAATAAAGTGCTATGAGAAAAACTTCAGCTTATTCACATATGAACAGAAATGCTATCTTGATCTTTAGATCTAAAATATTCATCATGAGAAAAAATTCAGCTTCACAGGAGGCCTGGGTTGGGGCTGTCCTTTGTCATTTTTCTTTTTTCTTCCAAAATGTGCTTAAATATTTTCCTCAGAGTGTTGTAAACTATTGGTCCATTTTCAGAATCAAAATTAACCTGGTGGCAAAGAAAAGTTCTATTCAGTCACTACAACATAAACAATTTGGGGAGAAAAAATGGGGTAGAAAAATATTAACACTATATAAACAAAATTGTATATATTTTTAAAAAAATACACATAATAAATTTCATATTTTAATTGATAGACTATATTAGAACTGTGTTAATTGTGTCAATACCAAACTATGAGTGAAAACTCAAAAATTAATCTCGTGCCTGGATATTTGTTTAATCACATACACCAAAGTCATGAAGAAACCAGTGAATGTGAAGTGCATTTTTAATTTAGAGCTAATCGCTGATGCTGTAAGGAAGTCTCCTCTACTAAACAAAGCACATCAGTGGTAAGTGTGTGCTCCGAGGCCCTATAGCCACTATGGACAAGAGTCAGGGTGACCTCAGTGTAGCTCTCCACCTGCCAGCTATGTAGCCCCATTCATACCGAACTTCTCGGGGCTTCAATTTCCTCCTCCACAAAATAGAGACCAAAATACCCCATGTCTTAGGATTTTTGTGAGAATAAGTGAAACGTGGTACCTGTGAGTATCTAGTATGTGTTCTGTACATATAAAAACCTCAGAAAGAGTTAGTTTTCTTTCTCCTTGCTAGGAAGCAACTATGTAAACATTCTTGGATTCGTTGCCAAGATTCACCATATTTTGGATTAAGAAAAAAACCCAAAGATGAGGATGTAGGAATGATGGAAGGGCTGAGAACCAGAGCGAGTGCCCCTGTACCATTCTCAAAGTAATGTGTGATCCACAGAGAGTTAGGACTTCAGGCTCATAGATTCTCTCCTTCTGGAATCACTTCTCAGATAAATTCTACAACTGCAGAGGATCTGAGATTCTATCCTACTTGCCTGCCAGTCATGGACATGGGCAGAAGAAGTGAAGCTCCTGGTCAGAGACAGACAACTCTATTCCTCCTGGTGGTGTGTGCTTTGTATTCTTAAGGGTTTCTCTTAGCCTCTGAGTCCCACAGGGGCAACTCAAGGGCCCAGATAGAGTCTGAACAGCAGGGATTTCTGTGTCACATCTGAGGAGCCCCAATCCTAGGAAATCCCTCTGTCTTTATTTTGCAGTCCTGGAAATCAAACCAGGGCATCATGTCTACCGGGCAAGTGTTTTACCAATGAACTATACCCCCATCCATGAAATCCCATAATATTTTATAAGGAGCTGCAAGGTAACCTGCCAGTCTCTGCACTGTCTTATTACGAGGGAAGGCTGAAAAAGAAGTCTTCTGCCCCGCAGGCAGAGTTGTCAGTGCCCAGGTCACCAGACTACACGTGGATGCAGAGAGCCGTGGTTAATTGTCTTCTAATATTTTTACAGACACATTCTGAACAACTGATACATCTAACTTTTCACTGGTGTTCCCTTAAAAGAATTCCTCCTGCTTTCTGAAAGGCCAAAACTAAGGATTTTTCTTCCAGGTCCAATTTACAAATATTATCTTAACCACTATAGTATCTATCCTATTTGCAAAAATTCCTTATGAGCACTAATGACAGTTTAACTTGTTTACTTTCTTCAACATCAAACTATAACCCTTTTCCCACGAATGGGCAGATCTTCTGGCTACCAAAGTGCACGCGGATGTAAAGGACCACGTGAGTTGCGGAAAACAGACTGCAAGTATGTTGAGTGCTTAGTGCCATAAAACTCCGAGAAGGAACAAGGGAGCCAGCAACAAGGATATCACTTTAGAAAGAGCTGAAGGGAAGGCGATTGGACAAATATTAAAAATGAAGAATGTGGGCTGGGGATGTGGCTCAAGTGGTAGCATACTCACCTGGCATGCTTGGGGCGCTGGGTTCGATCCTCAGCACCACATAAAAATAAAAAATAAGGATGTTGTGTCCACCGAAAACTAAAAAATAAATATTAAAAAATCTCTCTCTCGCTCTCTCTTTAAAAAAAAATGAAGAATGTTCACAATGTATGAATGAGTACAAGTAGTAAGTGCTCGTATCATCAATGCTTACCACAGATGTTATCATTCAAAAGCTGAGTTTTCTGTTTAATGACATTTTCATACCATATGTGACAGATAACAAACAAATTATGCAAAGGGGCGAGGGTACTGTTCTCTCGTGGCATGAACCTGGCTGCAAGCCAAAAGGATGTGCACAGAAAGGAAATATTTTTTTGAATCTTTGCTTAGGATTTGCCAATCAGGACATAGTACTGAATCAGGTATGTTGATGTTTAATTCTCAATAGATGGTTTCTTGTTTAAACCCAAGGTAGAACTGGCTCAACAAGAAAAAGTTCTCTGACTCCTAATAGGCACATGACTTAAAAATACTTAATGCCCGATTGTTTCTCCTTTCTTCTATATAAAAGCTCTTTGTTCCAATAATCTCTTTCAAAAAAGCCCCAGTTAGCTTTTCCTAATATCATTGAAAACTTTAATTTTTTTGGCTCCAACTCTGTAACTACTTATAGAAATGCCAAACACATTTCCATTAAGGGGAAACACAGCTAGACAGTTTATATTAGAGGAGGAAGGTGATTTCTGGATTCCTAATCTACAAAGATGATGCTGATTTGTAGTGTGGAAAAGGGGTGGGAAGAGTTGGACTCACCTTAGTGAAAGCCTTAATGGCGTGGGCAAGGCAAGCTTCCTCCACTTCCATGGGAATTGTCTGCAGGTTCACTAGACAATGCAACACGCAAAGGATAGTCTGGTGCTGTCCCTGCATTTGCAGAAATTGAAAACAAAAAGTTGTTTGAAAAATGCTGCAAACAGGAGGATTGTGAGTTTAAAGCCAGCCTCTGTAACTTAGCGAGGCTCTAAGCAACTTAGAGAGACCCTGTCTCATAAGATATTTAAAAAAGGGCTAGGGATGTAGCTCAGTGTTTGAGAGCCCTGGGTTCAATCCCTGGTACCAAAGGAAAAAAAAAAAAAGCCTCAACAAGTCAACTCAAAAAACAATCATAAAGTGAGCAATTGGTTTGTGACCCAACAATCAATCTCAAGTGATTAACTAAGTATCTACCAGGAGGGGCTGGAGCTGTGGCTCAGTGGTAGTGTGCTCGCCTAGCATGTGCGAGGCCCTAGGTTCGATCCTCAATTCAATTCTCAAAAATAAAATAAAGGTATTTTGTCCAACTACAACTAAAAAAAAAGGGCAAAAAAAAAAAAAAAAAAAAAAAAAAAAAGTATCTACCAAGTATTTACTGTTATGTATTAATATAATCTGAAAACCTTTCAAGGTACGTTAGCAAAGCTAGTTAGCTACTGTACAAAAGTACAACTGAAGATCAGTGCAGAAAACAAATGTTTCTCCTGCAGTGTACTGAATAGATTTTTTTCCTTCCTGCTGTTTCTGGATACAATCATTTCGGTTTGGCTAGTAGATGCTGACACATCATGGTGACCTGTGCACTAATCAGTTGGCACCAGGCAATTAGTACCTGTGTGTCCAGCCTGTTGCAGATGCTTCAGGAAGAGGTTGGCAGATGCAGAAAGTGAGAGGCCAGCCCCTTGAAGCCGTACTTAGGGAGACAGCCCCCAGCCTGAGGAGGTGAGACTTATAAGGATGGGTCCATTGACTTGACAGCTGGGAGATGTTCCATCACCTGAATAATACATATCCAAGTAGTAACCCACCAATTTCAACTTCTAGAAATCTAAGAGCAAACTATGAAATACAGAAAAACCTGCAAACAGAAATTATCAATTCAGTGATACTTATGAAATAAAGAACCTGAAAGAATGTAAATGTTCTACACAGGGGCTGGGTGAATTATGATAAAACAGGTGTGACAGAGCTTGACTGGCAGAGCTTGCATGGGTTTGTGCCAAGGAGACCTGAGTCTGAATCCTGCTGTGACACCTGCCAGGATCCTTAGCAAGCTGCTCCACCTTGCCTTGTTTGTAAGGGGAGTCCTCTATCTCCAAGCACTATCAAGATGAACAGAAGAGCCAGGACAATGACATCCTGAAGGGCTTGGCCCACAGCTGCCCCACAAAGGTTTATCTCCTGTCTCCCTCTCCTGTTTTATCTCTGAAATTTAACTACTGGAAAAAAAAAAAGGAACAAACAAACAAACAAACAAACAAAAATACCCTAAGAAAAGGACTCCAGATACAGGAAAAATCTTTTCTTAAAAGATTTGCATCACACAACTGTGTGCTGTCTCTGTGTGCATGCATGTTTGTGAGGGTACCTCTGTGTGTGTGTAGTCAGATTTTTAGTGGAGATTTGGAAACAATGAGACATTCTGAAAACAATGAGACATTGCACCAAGTAACTCAAGGTTGTTATGGGATAACATTGTTTTCTGAAACAAAAACTTATTTTTAACAGTATCTTTATATTGTTTAAAATACTAAATTGTATGAAAGTATTGTAAATGAAAAGTTTCCCTTCCTTCCCAGATCCACTGTCCCCTAGTGTCCTTCCCTGAATGCAACCACTACAACTAGTTTCTTTTCATTCTACATTCTTCTACATTTTATAATATATAAATTATATATATATATATATATATATATATATATATATATATATATATGCATATGTGTGAATATATATATATAACACCCCTTTTTAAAAATACAAAGGGGTGTATATTTCAACCTACTTCATAGTTTTCACATATACATGTTCATACTACATAAGTCAAAACAGATGCCCAGCTGTGAAAAGGGGGTTAATGACATATCCCTGATTGAGAACCCCACACATCCACTGCAGCCAATTTTTATGAGAAGCTTATACTACTTGTATACTTTTAAGCAAAAATGAAATATAAAATTGTATGTTAAAATAATTTTTATTGTGGGCTGGGGTTGTAGCTGAATGGTAGAATGCTTGCCTAGCATGTGTGAGGTACTGGGTTCAATTCTTAGCACCGCATATAAATAACTAAAAAATAACGGTCCATTGATAGCCAAAAAATATTTTTTAAAATTTTTATTAAATCAAAATAAGTATGATAAAAGATTTGAAAATATTTAATGACTCTTCTAGGATTATGGACATTTTTCCATTTTATTTTTTTGTATTTTCTAAACATTTATGCTATAGATTAATTTTTTTTCTCTCTCTCTTTTTTTGCAGTGCTAGGGCTGAAACCCAGGACCTTGCACACACTAGGCAAGCACTGAGCTACATCCTCAGTCTTCAGTTTCTTCTCTTACCTTAGAACAACTATTAATTTAGACCTAGCTATGAGATTTTATATGAGTTCGCCTTTTGTAATGGATTTTTTTAGCCTGTGAAACTCATTAGCTGGTCCAGCAGCGACTTTACCTTCTCTAATAAGAACAGGGCTTCGGCAGCATCTGCTTGTCTGTCAACCAACATGTCCACATCCTCTTTGGTGATTACAGGCTCCTTTAGTTGCTCCACCCAAGACCACATCAAACCACATAGGATGAAAGGATCTCTCTCACCACATATTCTTTCCCAAGCTCCATCTCGGGAATTTAGTTCTTTCTAAAAAGGAAGAGAAAGAAAGATAGAGACAGACACAGAGACAAGGAAGAAAGGTGCGTGGGCTGACGTGGATGCACAGGCTGCTCAGGAGAGTAAAGGCTCAGGCTCTGGGGTGCGATCTAGAATCACCCCCCGGCCCCTACACATCCAGGTGGAGGCACTGAGGTAACTTAGGGAACTTCTTGAAGCCTCGGTCTCTCTCTGTGGAGGTCACAGCCTGCCTCATACGTGCTGGGGCTGACCACACAGGCAGTTCAGGAAGACGGAGCCTTCCTTTTCATATGAACAAAACAGAGTACTGATTGCAAGGAAGCAGAATGGTAGATGAAAAAGGAAAAATAAGGGGCCATTTGAAAATTAACCCGGGATCTCAGGCAAAGCTTTTGCTTAAGACTTCAGAGTGAATGCAAGTTGGTTAAGTGTGAAATATGTATTTAGTTTTAGAATTCTATGTAAAATTTACCAAACAACAAGCTATGCATCCTGGAGTTTTCTAGAGTGAATATAAACTAGGCAGCCCTGCTAATACTACAAATACCTGGAGACAACTTGAGCTTGAGATTTTAAAACTTGACCTCACAGAGGGCTGGGTAAAAGTGAAATAGAATTTGAACTAATTTCTGATGGGGATCACACTTATGTTTTAGTAAATCAAATGTAGTTTTGCAGTAATAGTGTTAATAATTTACCCATTTTCACCCATCTGATATTTGCAGTCTACTAACTATGAACATGAACCATAATACTTGACTTATCTCTGATTTTCACAGCAATTCCACAGGGAGGCTACTCACAGATACCAGTAAGAGATGAAGGAACTTGCCTGGAGCTGCAAAGCTGGAAGATGGTAGAGGAGGTGTTCCACCTCATCTGCCTCACTCCAGCTGTGCCTGCTGTGCCACAGAGACTCTCCGGTACTGGGTTTTTCTTTATTATCTTTTAAATAAACCAATACATTTAGTTGTCTGCATTCCTTGCCATCCCACAGATCATGTATATAACAGTAGCTTTTGACTCAGTTTTATGCAGCTCATGAGGAAACAAGCTGGACAGAACTGATCCTACCCACGAGCCTTCTCAGGAAAATGATTACTTCACCAGCCTCCCACAGGCTTTCCGGTACGGGGAGGAAGACATAAGGATATAATGGAAAATATTACACACGTGGCTGCACCCATCATCACTCTCTGTTCTCAAGCCATACAACTTTGAGCAAGTCACTTAACCTCTATGACCCCTAATTTCCTCACCTGTGACACTGAATTCATAAGATTAACAAGGAATCTATAAATAATATCATTTGCCTCATAGGATTTCTGTGAAAATCACATGCACTAATATACATGAAAGGGCCTATTATAGGCACAGGTAGCAGTATACTATCCAAATAATGTTTCTTTTTTCCAGAATGTAACTAATTTTTTTAAATTACGGAAAGACCCAAAATAAAGTCTAAAAAGGAAAAAAGATGGGGGAGGGGAATTATCTCAAAGGTTTATGTTCACCTCTAGAAAATGCTTTTTGTACATATTATTTGTTGAAATAGTCTGTCCAAACCAAGTCCTGACCTCATCAGTACAGGTGTAGCTCACACGGGCATTTGGCCCCCCAGTGGTGGGGGCGCCACATTCTTTACCTAAAATGGAAGACTCTCTTGCTTATTAACTCTTGACACAGTAACACACGTAAGCAGGAAATGCTTACGGATTGAATGGAAGAGTTTTTCAGTTTGCAGTATAAAATAAAGAAAACAATTCATCTTGGAAGAAAATAATACATTTAACTATTTGTTAGGCAAAGATGAAATTTTATCAAAATTCTCTCCCCTCACATAGCTTCAAAATTAATTTTCATGCCTCTGCATCTGAAGAGATACTAGAACTCGTAGAAATTTACATGTTTTCTTTAATTAATATTGTAATAAGACAAGGAATTGGGGTTTTGGCCTAGCATGTACGAGGCCCTGGGTTCAATCCTCAGTACCACATAAAAATAAACAAATAAATAAATAAAAGGTCTTGTGTCCAACTACAACTAAAAAGTATTTTTTTTTAAAATAGGAAGAGTAATTATTAAAGTAGATTATGGGCTGATAAGTCAAGATTTTCACTGGTCAGGAGTCTCAAGTCAGTTCCATGTTGGGGCGGTTTGCCTGTTTCTGATAACTGGGTTTATAATGCCCATCTTTTCTTTAGACCAGGCCTTGAATCATTTAGGGCAAAGAGTGCAGCCAACTTAAGACTTTCTAGTGAAAGTATAATACAAAGGGGAATTAAAATTAAAATTTCACATTCTAATTTACATAAAAGTCAAGAAAGGGACCTCAAAGTCCTCCTTTCAGATAAAACTAACAGCATCGCGGTGGTCTGTGGTCATTCCTGTTTGCTCTCCTGAATGCTGGCCTCACGTGCTGGAGAGGGATCAGCAAGTCTGAAGCAGAAGAGGCCACGCGGGCAGGCTTAATCAACCCTAGTGCCAATGAGATTTGGGAAATTATTTATGTCTCTAGGTCAGTGGTTTTCAATGTGGCTCTGTGCCAGGCCTCAGGTTAGAGATATTTCGGTTCAGTTCCTAACGCCATCTTCTTAAGGCTGGCTGTTCCCACAAACCCAGTGAGAAGGAAGCTAGCAGCATCAGTGCCTTGGGTGGACTAAATACCTTCATGCACAGAGATTTAAATGAAACCCCACAACCACCCTGTCACTTTTATCATGTCAGATCTGGGAAACCTAAAGTTCAAAAGTTAAGTATAATATAAACATATCTCCACATTTTTATAACAAATAAATTTGCAACAATGTATTATATTTTTGCTTTGACATAACTATTTCCTGAGCATATATAATTAAATGAAATTCAAATACCTGCCACATTTCTACCTTCCTTTTCACTTCCTCCTTTTCTACAAACTCATTTAAATTTGCCAGGGCTTTGGCTGCCAGTATCCTCCTTGCGTCAACACTCAATTCAGATGGCAAGTCAGCACATGGCACTGCTTCAGATAGACCTTTGCTGTCCTGGGTTTCAACCAACAACTGTGTCTTGGGACTGAAGCCACAGTCTGGAGGGCTGCAGCAAGTCCTGCCCTCCTCCTCCACAGAGCCGGGGCCCCACCCACTGTGTGGTTCACGACAGTGGGCCACTCGCTGATGAGAAGGATTTACATCCTGATGGGCATTTGCAAGGTTGGGTGTAACTGGTTCCCCAGGGTTGCGGGAGCCTGAAATACCCACAGAGAAGGTTCGACTTCGCTGGATTTCCTTTGGAATGTCTCTCCTACAGAAAAGCGGTGATTCATTATCCTTGGGTCCTTCCAAACTCCCACACTTGGAGTGATTCCAGAAAGAAAACGTGTTTCGAACCAGTGCCTCCTTCTGCAGCTCTAGCTCTGGAGATGGTGGGACATAACGGTGTCTGGCAGGCTTCTGCTGCTGGAGGGTGTGGCCCAGCAGGTCCTGCGCAGGCACGGTCCATGGAGTCTCCCCTTGCTCCAGGAGAGCTTCGGCCCTCTTTAAGTCGGAGTCACTATAGCTGAGTCGCCTTTTCAGATGATTCAGCGGCTGAAGGCACTCGGCATTCCGCCTCTTCCAAAGGGGGTCAAACTCCTGATGGGTGGAAAGAATCACATCCTGATTCTCAAACTCTGCCACCACGGCAGTAGGGTTAAATGGGTCTGAGGCATCACTGCTGTGCCTCAGTAACTCTTTATCCAGCCGCATTGTGACCACCTCAGACACAGTCTTCTCAATTTCAGCAGAGAGTCCAGGTCCTTCCAACATGTCCTTCATCACCACTGGCCTGTTTTCAGCCAAGTCCAGCAGCAGTTTGCAGACCAGGTGGATGATTTTTGGCACATGTTTCAGAAGTCGGGCCTCATAACCATGAAGCAGGTGACGCTGGCGAATTAGGTACTGGGCTAATGTAACAGCATGAGCTTTGGGATCGCAGCAAGAGAAGATACTGCGGAGAGGAGTCAGAAACTGAGTAAATTCCCGCACACACAGCAGTTGTCCTCTGGTTTGTATGGAATTGGGTCGCTTTGCCCTCACAAATATAATTGCTTGGTCAGCAGTCATTCTTGTTGCAAAAACCAAATAACATGCTATTAAAACACCTAAATAGTGAAGAAGGGAAGATTGGTATTAGAAAAGTTTATAGTTTCATTTGTTTTATTGATCCCTCTTTGAAGATTTAAAACTTGAATACACGTTATGAAGTCACATGAACACAGGCACATTTGAAGGGAAATTACCAGGATAACTTTGAAACTTTGTGTACAGGCATTTATTGTGCTTCTCTTATTGAATAAACTTTATTTACCTGTCTGTGTGGTTGTCCCTCCCTGTGATGAGTCACCTGCAAACCCCAGGATGGGTGAGCACAGAGCTGGCAGGTGAAGAAGCACGGAGCGGGAAAGGCATGGCTGAGCGAGCTGGGATCTGGCCTGTCCACCACCCTTCTGCCCAGCTCCAACACACAAGAAAGCAAGTCCTGCTCTGTTTTCCACTCTGAAAAGCTCTGTCCATCCAACCACTTGGTACCTGAACCCCTACCATCTTTGCCATCAGTCACCAGAATGCTCCACCAGAGTGCTCTCCTTATTCGGATATCTCTTTGGAGATTATTCACCTCCACTGCCTACTTTTCTTCCTGACAATCTTTCTTCCAAACTATGTCTATACTAACCTATGTTTTTCTCCAGACCATGATATAACTGTTTTTTTATAAGCCAGCTTTGCCAATGTACATATTATGGATCTAATTAAGATGAGTAACTAATGAAAAGGTAATTATCAATCATTTTAAATATAATAACTAATAATTCAGTAAAAGGCAAATCAAAGATACCTATGAAATTTACAAGTTCGTGAACTTTTTTTTTTACATAGGAAACCAACCTCTGAAAGCTGCTTGCTCCCTGGTTTAAAGTAAGGTACAATGTATCTTTTTCACTGAGACACTGGCAGATCTTTAGTGCAAGGATAAAGTATCTGGAGAGCTATCTGGTGCAATGTCTAGGGACGCTGACATATCAGCTTGATCCTAAGAGCTAACTATCTTGATCAGAACACAGTCCTACCTCTCAGGGTACTCTAGGCAGATGGGAAATCCCCGAACAGATGTATGGTACCCTGTGGACGGAACTGAGCTGCAGGTGGTTTGATCAGACTGAGCCATGTGACAATGAAGATATCAACCCAAGGCCTTTATTGCTGCCCTCAGACCAGCAATATAACAGATTCTACTGAATTTTTAAATAAAATCACTAATGTCTATACAGAATTCTATGTAAAAAATTGACTCTTTTTTTAAAACACATCCTTACACCTCTAAAAGCAGAGAGCACATGACTCTGGAGTAAGCAGTCATAGATGCAAACGCTAAAGCAGCAAACTGCTTAACTTTTCTGAAACTGCAGTTTCTTCTGCTTATACTGTTGATAAAAGTTTAAAAGAAAGCAAATATAAAACTCTTAGAAAGTAATAGGTGAAACAATGCTTGCTATTTTCATTATTGGTTAAGAAAAATCTATAGATAAAAAAGACATTATGTATCAAAATGTGTTGTTATTCTTTAAAAGAAAACAGAGGGGGCATGTAAGTAATCTTAGAAATCTGTTCAAATATGCTACGTTTTCAGCTCTAAGTCATTCAGAAAATATTCCTACCAATGTGTGGTTATTGTAACCACCCGTTTAAGATCGGGGCTGAGGATGTGGCTCAATGGTAGCACGCTCGCCTGGCATGCGCGGGGCACTGGGTTTGATCCTCAGCACCACATAAAAATAAAAAAAGATGTTGTGTCCACTGAGAGCTAAAAAATAAATATTGAAAAATTCTCTCTCTTTAAAAAAAAAAGATATTGTGAATATATTTTATTCACGTTTTCCATTTCACACCAAAGCTTTGATAGGATTCTAAAAAATATTTATTTTTTTAAATAAATAGGAAATCTTATTCCTTATATATTTAAATGCCTACAAGATAATAAAACCACCCCCTAGAATTTACCTGTTCGGCCAAGCCCTGCGTGACAATGAATGGCTACTTTTCCTTCCTGTAAGGCAAACGTCATCACCTTCACCATATCTAAGATGGTGGTGAGAGATGCTACACCGTAATCCTTCCATCCAAAATTGTAGAAATAAACTGGGCAATGGAAAAGAGAAAGGCAAAACAAATTAACATAAAGAAAAAAATACTTGCAAAAACATTTGAAGAAAATGAATGAATCATGGAAAGTATACAGCTATAAAGCACATAGATTTCACTAGACTTACAGGCCCCTTTACATTTCCAGTTAAATTTGTTAACCTCTCTCACATTCTGTATCACTTAAGACATTTCTTGCAGACACTCAGCCATTAAGAATTAAGAAAAAGTAGAATTACAAATTAATAAAATCTATGACCCCCCAGTGGAGGTAAAGCATTCATTCCTGTCTAAACACAGAAATGTCCGTATCTAAATGACTGATAAATGACTAAAGATAGTGTATTTAGGTTTTCTACCCAGAATTTAAAAAGCTAGACACACACATCTTAAAAACAAGTTCTAAGATTGCACGTTTTTCCAGTTCAACCTGGTTTAAATAACATGCACTGAATGGATTCTATCTCAAAGTTCCTGTGACTGAGGAGCCTCTGTGACTGCCACAAGAATATCCTTCTGGAGGCAGGGCTGGCAGCAGTAAAATTAGGAACATGTCCAGCTTCTAATACTTATTGCCATTTCTAAGCTGTGTGATATCGGGCAAATCAGTAACCTTCCAGGCCTCTGTGGACTCTAGTATAAAACAGAGATAACAACTGTATTATGCAACTCTAAGTCGTTCTGTGAGGATGATGGACATGCTGCAGGCATCAGCTGAATGGAAGCCTTATCCTGCAGGGTGTCCTCCCAACGTCCCTCTCCCAGAAACAAGAAACCCTGTATTGCAAAATAATCCCAAAGAATGAAAGCATCATTTACGGTCAATGTTAGCCCATCTTCATTTTCTATGAGCCCTGCTACAATGCCGTGTTTATTTCTATCACCTTTTAAGAGCCTAGCCAACAAAGTCTCTGAGTGCTGGTCCTGCAAATTCACAGAGAGGAAGGTAGGAAGGAACTTACTGCCAGCCTCCATGAACGTCTCAGGAAGGTATGTGAAGCCACTTTCTTGTTCCAGAGAGTTCCCACAGCTAGCATGCTCACCAGGGCGCTGCAGGTTGATTATTGTTTTTATGCCATGACTTAAAGAAAAAAGCAATTAGTCATACTGTGAGCTGGAGCTTTTAAAAAAAAATCATCTCTGGCATTAATAAACATTAATTGCTTCTCAAACTTTTAACTTCTTTTAAAAGAAGCTCTTCAGTGCCTATTTTTAAAACAAAAGCACTTTTTTACTTGAAGGCACATGCAACAAGTGAATCTGCGCACTCAGCACGTGAGAGACACAGACTCACCTGAGGAACTGCTCGATGATGTGGTACTTCTCGAGAAGCTCAGATGACGGGCGAGCCATGGCCAGGATACTGTCAGTGATCCTGCAGACAGGGGACGAAATGGTGCACAGAACCCAGAATGTCAACCTCAAAGGACTGAGATATGGTTCTTTTCCTACGATTTCTGAAACCTGTAAGAATATTCTTATACAAATCTGGCATTGCACTTCCCAGAAAAAAATTCAGGACATAAAGTATTTATGAACTCTAACAAAGTATCTCCAAGAACTCTCGAAAGATTCCAGTGGCATGATGGAGAAACCTCAGCTAATGGCAAAGGTAACAGTCTTGATTAGCTACCCCATGGTTAGTGACTAAATGAGGAGGGCCAACCAGGAGGCACTTCTGCACTCCAGTAACTAAACCTCAGTTAACTAAGGTATTAAGTGGGGAGAATAACGTCTGCTTCGCAGGGTTGGTGTGAGAATTTGACATGATCTGGACACAAAGTCTTTAGCACAAATCCTAGCCTATGGTTATAAATAAATGCTGAGTTATTAATTCAGCAAAAATTATGGGTTCCAGTCAGTTAGTCCTGGCTTAAATGTTGTCTTTTCTACCATCTAGTTGTTAAGCAAATTAATCTCTCTGGAACATCAATAAAATGGCACTAAAAACTCACAAGAGTTTTATGAAAACAAGTGCTAATAATTTGAAAGCATCCAGTGCAGTGCCTGGTTCATAGCCAAATGAATGTTTATGAATGAATGACTGGACAGAAGCCCAATAAACAGCTATCACTCATGTCAGGTCTTTGGCTTTACTCTGTTCTGTTCAAAGTTCTCAGTAGCAGCCTGGTAAAAGATATATAGTCTATAGTAAGCTGTGAGTCATATGAACCTCAGAGGAGTGACAGAGACATTAGATTACCAGGGAGGGATCCAAAAAGATAGCTCCCCTATGGGAAAATGTGTAAGATTTAACACTGACCCCAAAGGTTTGGGATACCCCATATTTACTAGAACTTAGTAAAAAATGAGGGAGATGGAATGTGAAAACAGCAGAGGTGAAAAAGACTCACGTGGTTTAGTCAATAATAAAGCCCAAACTATATTACTACAAATTTACTTGGCTGACTATGGCTCAGGAATAACATTTTGCTTCATCATACATTAGCACGGCAGTGCTGGATCTGTATATTGGAGAACAAAAAGGACAGTGGACCCCAGACTAAGTCACTACAAATGTACCTGGCAAATCCAATAGGAAACTCTGCAGGGTACAAGTCCAATAAGCTGGTTAACAAATATCTAATTTAAACATGAATTCTTGATGTATAAAGTAACTCATGATTAGAATTCTTTTTTAAATTTTTTTTTTAGTTGTCAATGGACCTTTATTTATTGATACATGGTGCTTAGGATCGAACCCGGTGCTTCATACATGCTAGGCAAGTGCTCTGCCACTGAGCCACCCCAGCCCTAGAATTCTTTTAATTTCCCTAAGCATGTTTCAAATGTGATTTGATTATTCTAATTTCAGATGTCACTGTATCAAAAAAGGTATACCTGACTAGTTTATTGTTACTTCATAAAAAGGCAGTATGATTCAAGAATGATATTAATTGCACTTACACATCAGAAACAATGCAAGCATCTTAGGCTGTCTACCGAGCTGACAACTTCTGCCACTTTAATAAGGCAGACTAAAGAGTATTTGTGTGAAAATATGTCCTTTCACACGGAATATAAGAACAAAATAAAAGTAAGGCTAAAACTTACCTGTATAAAACTGAAGAACTACATGTGTACCTCAAAATTTTCTCAAATTTACAGCTGAATGTTTTTATTATTTCTAGTAATTTCTGAAATTTAAGAGCTAATTATCCATTTATTTAAGATATGTTACATGCATCATTTCTCTTAATTGAAAAACAAACCCCTATGGCTTTGGCTTAACTGTTTCCATCTCATAGATGAGAAACTGAAGTCGAGCAGGCCAGGATCCGGCAGTTGGTCTAGAAGCAAAGCCAGAGATGGTGGCGAGGTCCCCTAGGTTCAAAGCCCACACTGCCCCTTCCACTCCCCTGCCTGTCGGCTCACAGGCGTCCTCCTTCCTTTATCCTATACAGCTACTGAAGACCCACAGGATCACTTACCAGGACGAGTAAATACCCTTAATAGCTTGCTCCTGCTCACTCCAGCGGGCTGGATTCTCATACTTGCATGCTTTACCACCACATGCCATGGAACACGCCATGTGTCCAGGGATGACATGCCGTAAACGCTCTCCCACTTTTGTATATTTCGGTGTTGGACGTTCTGAATTTCCTAGAACATACGAGGAGGGAAGACTCAAAATCCCAGTCTCCAAATGGAACTGATAACAGGGGGAATAGTTCCTGTTTCATCTTAGCATCATAGATTAAGAGCTGGTGCTAAATCCCCTTCATCCAATATTAAAAAAGCTTTCCTATACACACATTAAACTGGTAATGAAGAGGAAGAAATTGTAAGAGCAGATCTTTTCAAGGGGATGCTTTGTTCAAAACTACATTTTTAATGGAAAAAACAGAAAACATTCAATCATTTTATCTCCTCTTACATACTCACTCAAATTATTAGCCTAACAGTAAAAAGTAAAATGTACAATTGTCAATATTTGAAAAGGCATAAATACAATAGTCTATTCAAATTCTTAAATTTAGATACAAAGGTGTAACAAACAAGAAAGACAGTTTTACTTTTCCTCTCTGGGAAAGTTGGTTTCTCTTCGGCTCGGCTGACAGAGGACACAGCCACCATCACCTGGAGAGAAGAGGAGGACAGCAGCTTTGTGGCAGAGCCAGAGCCACGGCGTGCCTGCTGCAGCCTCAGGACAGGGTCAGAAGTAGAGTGCCGGCGGCCCTGCAGAAAGGAGCTCAGGAAGTGCACGGCTGAGGGTCTCCGGGGCTCACCCTGCACCTGCATGGTGCTGGCTCCACAGGGGCAAGAGTTGGAGGCAGAGAGAAACCAGCCTTGGTTTGCTCAGGGAGGAAGTACACTGAGACACAGGCAACATTCTGTGTGATCTAAGAGCTATTCAGGATAGGCTGACTCGTTTCCATAGTAACCAACAAAGAAACTACTGATTCCCACTTAGATCTGAACAGGCAAAAATCTTACATGAACGGATTGCATTTTGGACAAATTGTTCAAATATAGGGAAGAATAAGATGCACTTTAAAGAGATTATCCCTCAATCTAGATTATTCTATTTTGTTTCTCAAATACACTTAAGGATCTGACTGCTCAGAGAATTACTCCCAAAATATTGTAATAAACTTAGAAAAATGTCTTTATGATGCAAACACTGCCTTTTACATACATTAAAAAGCTTAAATTCTATTATTCCTTTCTAGCCTTGTCTTGATATTTAAAGAAAAAAAAAAATCACTTCCAGCCTCTTTGAAACAGGGCACATAAAAAGTTAACTATAATAAAAAATATACTGAATACCTTACAACATTATTAAAGATTATTCCATTTTTCATACCCAAGTTCCCCTTGATATTTTCTTGATCTAATTATTTAAGAAACACTTGGCTAGAACAAATAAAGACATTTTTAGAGCTGGCACAGTATCAGAAGACATTTAATTTTACATTTTTATTTTCAGAACATGAAAACCCAATTCCTGGCTATGCGACTGTTGGATGATAACCATTAGCCATGGGTACAAGTATCTGAGCAGCCCCACCTCTCAAAAACAAGAACACAATTCTCTGCCTTTTGTTGCTATGGGGGAAAAGAAAGCTTCAATGTCCTAATGGAGGCCTACGACAAAAATTCCCTAAAGTATCACATTTTTTAAGGAACTAGATGAGGGGGAGGTTGCAATTTGAGGATAAAGGATATAAAGAAAACAGAAACTGCGACAACCCGCCAATGCACTCATTGTCCGCCTCTTCCCTTGTAAATGTCAGGCCGCGCCCGTGCTCACTCACACTCTCCCTGGCTCACACTCGGCACAAACGCTATTTCAGCAGAGCATGAACGGAAACATAACTACGGCCACAGATAAGGCTCTTCTCTGCTTTAACAATCATTAGTGTCATGAGCAAGCTCCTTGTCGAAGGCCACCTTCATTCTCCAAGAGTATGTACTTATGTCAAATAAGACAGAGCCACAGAAGTCCAATTTGGCATGTAGTACTGTGCCCTTGTTATTAGTGTGCAACAACGGAAAAGGCCTCTCTGTCACCAATCCAGAAAGCACAGCTTCTCTGTCTGTAGAAATGGCCTGAGGAATATTCTAGGCAATGCCCTCATGACCCTTAGGACAAGGGACATAGAAGTCCCACAGCACAGAGATCTGCATGAGCAGAAAGCATAGAAGATATGACAAGGAAAACAAGGTGGCACCTAATGGCAGGACTGTTAATGCTCCAACTAGGGAGTTGCGTGTTTGCTGCCTGGATGACAGGGAGTCCGAAAAGGTTTCTGGGTAGGGCTCTGTGCTCCTGAGTAGGCGACACTTGAGAGCCCAGCAGGTGAAAGGTAGGAAGCCTGCACTGTGGCCTGGTGAGGTCAATGGCTGTGGGGATGGGTCTGTCAGGGTGGACTGTGATGGTGATGGAGGTGATGGTGGCGCCCCAGCTCAAGTGACCAGTGAGATCTTTCAGGCAGTTCACGTGGCGCCCATGCACTGAGGGCTAGACAGGGGTAAGCTCCACTAGAGGGGTGCAGGCATCTAGGCAACAAGGAGGAGTGTCGATGAGTGACACTTAGAGATCTGGCATTGAAGGACATCTACAGAGAAAGTCAAAAGTGATTCTGCCCCCAAGTGTACTAAAAATAAAAGCTCATTTGATGAGGTGCAGGACTTACTCGGACTTCAACTAAGGAAGGTATGGTTTATATATGAATAATTTCTGCTGTAAAATCTTGAAAACTGGGCTGACCTCAACCCCGGGCTAACTGAGCTGACTCAAGGTATTACAGGCAGTAACCCTGAGTCAGGGGCTGAGAAGTGGAGCCTAATACAAAGAGGGTCTGCCAGGTGACAGCAACCTCTCAGCACTGGGAATACAACCTGCACCTACCTGGCAGACGAAGTGGAACCTTGTCCACCTCTGGTCATGAGAGGTGGGCACATAAACCTTCGCTTGGCCACTTGTCTAAAGGGCTGCTTCAGGACTATTTCTTGGCAAAATCCCCAATTCACAGCACGATCCATTGTTTTAAAATGAATTTTATTTATGCCACACAAAGCTTTACAACAGAGAAGCAGACCTTCAGGGTACCCATCTGGTTTCCCTTTCCCAATTTTTCCATATACTGTATAGATTCTCTTCATATTTGTAATCACATTGTGCATACGCCTTTCCAGTCAGTGTAGGAGCATCTTCCCATATTGCTTTCTCTTCCTTCAGATTTTTATTTAATGGAATCACAGAGATTAGGACACATTAATTTGATGCATCATAGTTTACCTAGTTATTCCTTGGCTATTGGACATTTAGGCTATTATCAATGATTTTTATATAAAAATAAGACTAATATTAAACTATTCAAGACTAGAATCTATGTTTCTCCTTTAGTAAATTCCTGGGGATGAGATGATAGGTAAAAATAATTAATTTCCAAAGCTCATGCTTTTACTTAGTTGAGTCTTTCTTCACATCTTGATATTTAAACCTGGTGCCAGGGATTGAACCCAGGGCCTGGCCCATGTTAGGGAAGCTCTCTACCACTGAGCTACATCCCCAGCCCTTTTAAAAATGTTTTATTTTCAGACAGGGTTTCACAAAGTTGCCCAGGCTGGCTTTGAACTTGTGATCCTCCTGCCTCAGCCTCCTGAGCAGCTGGGATTACAGGCATTGCCACCGTGCCTGGGTTTTAAGAAGCATGTACGAAGAAGCAGAAAAGGAACATTTCTGGTAACTCAACAGAGACTCCCCCCCTCACTGGGGTCAGAGAGAAAAACAGCATGAAAATAAGGATTAAAGGACACTATACTACATCTGATAAGTTTTTGTCTTAATATCCTTTGTCCCAGAACTCTCACCACCTCTATCACTTCCTGCTGTCTAAGCACACATTTTTTATTCATACTATGTTGCAAAAAAAAAAAAAACATCATGCAAACAACTTTAAAGGGATTATTTTCTAATTCTTAGTTAGAATTAAAGATTTTGTACTGGAACCAAAGTGGACTTTTATATTCTCTTCAAAATACTTTTTAATTCTGTGGGTCAATTTAGTTAGCTCTATGTACTCACATCGGGTTTCATGCATCCATAAGAAAGCACATTTGCTCTAGCACTTGAAAATCAATTTGTCATTTGGAATAATAAGAGGCCCAGAATAGCCAAAGCAATCCCTAGTGAGAAAAGTGAAGCAGAAAACATAACAACACCAGACCTTAAAGAATACCACAGAGCTATAGTAACAAAAACAGCATGGTATTGGCACCAAAACAGACATGCAGACCAATGGTACAGAATAGAAGACACATAAATACAGTTATCTCATAGTAGACAAAGGTCCCATAAACATAAGTTGGAGAAAAGATAGCCTATTCAACAAATGGTGCTGGGAAAACTGGAAATCCACATGAAATAAAATTTAATGAAATTAAAGCCCCTATCTCTCCCCTTCCACAAAACTCAACTCAAAGTGGATCAAGGGCCTAGGCATTAGACCAGAGATTCTGCACTTACTAGGCCCAAATCTCCATGATGTCAGCTTAGGAACTGAATTCTCCAACAAGACTCCTAAAGTACAAGAAGTAAAATCAAGAATCAATAAATGGGATGGTATCAAACTAAAAAGTTTCTTCACAGCAAAGAAAACAATCAATAATATGAAGAGAGAGCCTACAGAATGGAAGAAAATCTTTGCCATCTGCACTTCAGATAGAGCATTAATCTCCAAGATATACAAAGAACTCAAAAAACTTAACACCAAAAAAACAAATACAGACACTTCACAGAAGAAGAAATATGATCAGCCAACAAATATATAAAAAAATTCAACATCTCTAGCAATTAGAGAAATGCAAACTAAAACTATATTGAGATTTCATCTCTCTCCAGTCAGAATGGCAATTATTAAGAATATAAGCAACAATAAGTGTTGGCAAGGATGTGGGGACTGCATTTTTCTGGTGGAACTGCAAATTGGTGCAATCACTATGGAAAGCAGTATGAGATTCCTCAGAAAACTTGGAATGGAACCAACATTTAACCTAGTAATTCCATTCCTCGGTAAATAACCAAAGGACATAAAATCAGCATACTATAGTGAAGCGGCTACATCAATGTTTATTGTAGGCTCAACTCATAATAGCTAAACTATGGGACCAATGTAGGTGCCCTTCAACAGATGAATGAATAAAGAAAGTGTGGTATATACACACAATGGAATATTACTCAGCCATAAAGAAGAATGAAATTATGGCATTTGCCAGTAAATGGATGGAACTGTAGACTATCATGTTAAGTGAAATAAGCCAATCCCAAAAAAAACAAAGGCTGGATGTTCTTTCTGATATGCAGATGCTAGTACACAATAAGGGGGAAAGAATAGAAGTTCATTTGATTAGACAAAGAGGAATGAAGAGAGGGGATGGGAATGGGAATAAGAAAGAGAGTAGAATTAATCAGACATAACTTTCCTATTCTTAAATATGAATACTCAACCAGTGTAACTCCACATCAAGAACAACCACAAGAATGGGAAGTTATACTCCACATATGTATAATATGTTAAAAGACATTGCACTGTCACATGTAGCTAAAAAGAACAAATAAATAATTTTTAAAACAGAAAATCAATTTGGGCTGGGGTTGTGGCTCAGTAGTAGAGCACTTGCCTAGCATGCAGTGAGGCACTGGGTTTGATCCCCCACACTACATAAAAATGAAAACAAATAAAATAAAGGTATTGTGTTCATCCACAATTAAAAAATATTTTTTAAAAAAGAAAATCAGGGGCTGGGGATGTGGCTCAGGTGGTAGTGTGCTCGCCTAGCATACGTGAGGCACTGGGTTCGATTCTCAGCACCACATAAAAATAAAATAAAGATATTGTGTCCACCTAAAAAAATAAATAAAAAATAAATATTTTTTTAAAAAAGAAAATCAATTTAAAGACTTAAATTGAAGTGAATTATCAATTTCTATTGCTGAATTGTTCACACTGATAGAACATTTTAACTTTGGTTTAAAATTGCCAATACGAAAAAACAGAAGTCTTATTTTTGGATAAACAGAACTAGCAAGACTATTTTAATTCCCATTTCATGTTTTACATAACGTGGCAATACTTTAGTGTGAGAGTAATTTTAAGGAGGGTCATGCTTTCCACAGACAATAGGTAAAGAACTTTTTCATAAAGGCCACAGAGAGTCTTCAGAACATCACCTCAACAAACCCTTATCATCTTTCTTTTCCTCTCTTCTGTCTCCATGGTCAGAATTTATTTGCAGGTCACAAGAACCAACACTGCTGTTGTTTTCTCACTTACCTGCTAACAACTGATCTATTTTTTTCCCTTCTATGACAACGCATTTTTCTAAATAAGTACATATGAAAGAGGTGTTCAGTTTTCTTCACTTCATGAATATAAAATCATAGGGAATTATGCCTCAATTCTTGTCTTGCTCTTCTCCCTACTTTCAAATATACTGTCTCTAGGGGAAAAGTATGTTCTAAGAGAAAGCAGGAAAATGATGCAAAAGGAATCCATGGGGCAGATCAGTCCTGTACTCCCTGGCCACCGAAATCACCACTGCATAAGAAGCATAAAAATGATGAGTGCCATGCTATGGTCTCTAGATCGAACATGGTTGTGACCACTGGCTTTCATAGCCATGCAATCAGACTGAACCAAATCTAGAATAATATATAAGGAACCAAATGAGATATTGGTCACTGTAAATGCAAAGGAATCTACACTTGGGATAAGCACAATAAAAACATAAACCTGCTAAACAGTACCAATGAGTACTCAGTCTGTTCCTCTTCAATTTCTATACAATAGGCGGTTCAAATACTGAACATCCTAAGCAGATCTGGAATCAAGAATTGGTCATTCATTTCGTTCTATACTCAAGATTTGGCAAGGGCTATTTCTCCCTATTCAAACAACCTTATACAACAACAGACCCAGGAATGTGTGGGAGATGGAGGTCCTAGGTCCATAAATGAGTCACTTCCAGGAATTTGGCTATAATGATGACTTCCCAGCCTTGTGCTTTCCCTTTTGGAACAGGAAGTTCATTTTTCACAAGGCAACTAGCTGTTCAACTGTTTGCTCAAAAATTTTCTAATATTGAGGGGCTGGAGTTGTAGCTCAGTAGTTGAGCACTTATCTCAATGTGAGAGGCATTGTGTTCGATTCTCAGCACCACATAAATAAATAAAAATACTGTGTCCATCTACAACTAAAAAATCATTTTTTAAAAATTTCTACTATTGAGCTCGGATTGTGGCTCAGTGGTAGACTGCTGGCCTAGTATGTGCGAGGCGCTGGGTTCGATCCTCAGCACCACATAAAAATAAATAAATAAAATAAAAAGGTATTGTATCCAACTACAACAACAAAAAAAGCTTTAAAAAATTTCTACTATTGAGTCTAAATCCACTTCTCAATTAAAATTGGTTCTATACCTTTCCTCCAAATTAAGAAATAAAAGTATATGATAAAATAAAATAAAACAAGCATTTCTTTGATTTGCAAGGTTTTCAGATATCTGAAGACAGAACTTCTACAAGACTTTCCTTATTTGGACTAAATCTGCTTTTAATGTTGTTCTAGTATGTGGCATTAGAAACGGATCTCAATATAACTCATCTTCTTAGTGCTTCTCTTCCTGACATGGAAGATTCTCTAAATAAAATGCTGACTGCCACTACCATTTTCATTTGTCCCCTGTCCCATCCTCAACCTGGTCAGCTCTGTCTCTGGACTCTGCCCACCTGTGTGTTGGCCCACTCACCCTAAATTGTTGAGAGCCATAGCCAGAAGGGGCCCCATCAAACTTCCAGCTGCCAGCAAACTTCCAGCTGCCAGCTGATGATTGGCTCACAGCGGCCCCAGCAACTTCTAGCTGCCAACTGATTGGCTCCTCTGCGGTGATGCTCATTGGGCTGTTTCCCCGCCCTTTCAGACCATGGAGCTGCTCATTGGGGGACTTTTTTGGCTCCGCCCATGCGACCCAGCCAATCGGCCTCAAGAGCAGGAGGAGTGGGGGAGGTTGAGAGGCTTGTGGGAAGCGGTGGTGGCAGTTGGGCTCTGAAGGTTTTCCTGAGGAGCTGTGTGGTTTGGTGTGTTTTCTCTAAAAATAAAGTTTCTTTTGACAAGTGGCTCCTGAATTGTGCCCAGCCAGACTGCGGCATTTGGTTTGGAATTTCTCCCAATAAAATTATTACTCCATATACTATGGATCAAATTGATGAGTTAGCTAATGAGTTAAATACTTGGGCAATAATCAGGTGCAAATCTAATGTTTCATTTAATAACCACTTACCATCTAATCCTTTATTGTCTTTTTGGTCATTGCATCCTGTAATTTTTCCAAAAATGACAAGAAAAACACCTATCATGAATGCTCCAAATATATTCACTGATGGGTCAAATAATGGTACAGCAGCAGTAGTTACCCCTGATCAAACTTTTACATTTTTAGTTCCCAAACAATCAGCTCAAAAGGTAGAGCTTAATGCAGTATTACAAGCTTTTATGATGTTTAAAGATTCTGTATTTAATTTATTTTCCGATAGTCAGTATATAGTTAATGCTATAGTATCCCTTGAAGATGCTGGTAGGATTTCCCCTTCCTCTACTGCTTTCTCTTTGCTTTCCACTATACAAAGTCTAATCTGGGAGAGAAAAGATCCATTCTTTATAGGACATATCAGGGCACATACAGGATTGCCTGGAGCCCTTAGTTTGGGCAATGATTTAGCAGATAAAACTACACATGACATACATATTTTCTCTACACTAGAAGAAGCTACAAATTTTCATAAAAAGTTCCATGTCAATGCTAATACTTTACAAAAGCGTTTTAAAATAACTAAGGAACAAGCTAGACAAATAATAAAACAATGTCAAAATTGTGTGACCTTTTTATCACAAGTTAATCTTGGAGTCAATCCTAGAGGACTGATACCTAACCATATTTGGCAGATGGATGTCACACACTTGCCAGAATTTGGAAAATTAAAATATTTGCATGTTACAGTTGATACTTCTTCTGGATTTTTGATGGGCTCCCTTCATACCGGAGAAAAAAACTAAAGATATTATAGCTCATTGCTTACAAAATTTTGCCACTGTGGGCGTTCCAAAACAGTTAAAAACAGATAATGCCCCTGGTTATACTTCTACCTCTTTTAAACAATTTTGCTCATCATTTGGTATTACTCATATAACAGGAATCCCATACAATCCACAGGGACAAGGCATAGTTGAAAGAGCTCATCAAACTATTAAAATGTACTTATTAAAGCAAAAAGAGGGAATTGGGAAGGGGTATATATTTCCCAAAGATAAACTTAAAATAACCCTTTTTACTCTAAACTTTTAAAATTTGGATTCATCAGGACTTAGTGCTGCGGAAAGGCATATGTGTCCAAAAAATGTGCATAAGCCCAAGGTACTTTAGAAGGATATTCTAACAGGACAATGGAAAGGTCCTGACCCAGTAATTGTCTGGAGTCGGGGGTCTGTTTGTGTGTTTCCACAGGGAGAACAGCAGCCGATTTGGATTTCAGAGAGATTAACTAAAGCGATTTCTACAGACCAAAAATAAGATGATTTGGCTCAAATCCATAACAGCTGATATCCAGAACTCCAGTTTGGCTACCCTTACATCTGCGACAGAACCAGGATGCTTTTTTCAATATCTATTTTATTATCGCCCTTTCCCACATCATGAAGTTCTATTTTGTTTTTTGAGCTCATACAGAACTAGGTTAATGTTTTGCTGATCAGTTCTATTTTTTGACTATAGAGTTTTTAAACATTGCAATGGAGATTTCACCTGTAAAAAGTTATAAGGCCTTTACTATTATGTTATGTGTTGTATGTATTATGTGTGCACACTTGTGTTTTGTGTTATATGTTTGAATGTACGTATGTCCATATATCATATATGATGAGCGCTCATGAAAAAATGGATCCAAATATTTTTTTTTTACGTGATTTAAATGGTTTAATTTAAATTGGGTAAACAGCTGTTGAGGATTGTTTTAATATATGAACAAAAAAGGAGGTTAACAGATCTGTTTGTTTACTTTCACCTTTCCTTTTCATTATATTTAATAATTCTGTTGAAGATAAGGTACATTGTTAAGAAAATTGTTTTCTTTTAGTGCCTTCTGGAATGTTATATAATTTTTTCTTTAGCCATTATTGCCAGAATTCCTATCTTCATCCCAGTGCCGGTGAAGACAAAGATAAAACCAATCTACAGCTTCTGCAATAGCCATCACTGAACTGCTTGCAGAACTTGCCTGGACTATGTATCACTTGTATGCATTGTGAACTCACTTGTATGCATTGTGAACTATCTGTTGGTGCAGCGACTTGTGGTAGTGTTGGGGTATTTATGCTGATGGTGTCATCAGTGGTACAATTTTTCCAAAAGGAGCCATCACTGAACTGCTTGCAGAACTTGCCTGGACTATGAATCACTTGTATGCATTGTGAACTCACCTGTATGCATTGTGAACTATCTGTTGGTGCAGCGACTTGTGGTAGTGTTTGGGTATTTTTGCTGATGATGTCATCGGTGGTACAATTTCTCCAAAAGGAGCCGTCAATTGGCTTGGTGTATCTTCCTCCCTTCTGCTTGTCATGGTCGTTCAGCTAAAATTTGGGGGCCAACAGAGGTGAGGCAAAGAACCTCACCCCCCTCCCCCGCTGGTACAAAGACCTATCCACAGGTGTGGCTGTATACTGGACCGGTAGTCAGTGACGGGTAAGATCCAATTGCAATGGTACCAACCTAAGGACCATATGTACTATTGGACAACCTAAGGCAGGGACGGTCCCTAAGCCACATGCTTGTTGTTTAAACAGAGAGGGGAGATGTTGAGAGCCACAGCCAGAAGGGGCCCCAGCAAACTTCTAGCTGCCAGCAAACTTCCAGCTGCCAGCTGATGATTGGCTCACAGCGGCCCCAGCAACTTCTAGCTGCCAACTGATTGGCTCCTCTGCGGTGATGCTCATTGGGCTGTTTCCCCGCCCTTTCAGACCATGGAGCTGCTCATTGGGGGACTTTTTTGGCTCTGCCCATGCGACCCAGCCAATCGGCCTCAAGAGCAGGAGGAGTGGGGGAGGTTGAGAGGCTTGTGGGAAGCGGTGGTGGCAGTTGGGCTCTGAAGGTTTTCCTGAGGAGCTGTGTGGTTTGGTGTGTGTTTTCTAAAAATAAAGTTCGTTTCTTTTGACAAGTGGCTCCTGAATTGTGCCCAGCCAGACTGCGGCACTAAATGTATTCTAATATTCCATGCAAGATCATCCCACCATTCAGGAGCCCTCCTACCCTGACCTGAGTCCTGACACCCCGGGCTAGGCCAACCTCCCATTCAGACCTCAGACTTACATCTCAGCATTGCTGGGCTGCCCCTCATGAATTCCCCTTTCACCCTTTGTGGCCTAGTATGACAGCTTCACCCCATACACTGGTGTATATGCCAACCTTGCTGGGCCCCATTAAGAGGCTCTTGGAATTATTCAGGTAGGAAGGGAAAAAAAAAGAAGAGGAAGTTCCCCCTTTTCCTTCTTTCTCTTCGTTAACTGCAACAAAATATAGATAACAAAATTTACCATTTTAAACATTTTTAGGCATACGGTTCTCTGGTATGAAGTATATTCACATTGTTGTGCAACTATCACCAAGATTCATCTCCAGAATTCTTTCCCTTTTCCCAAACTGAAACTCTACACCCATTAAAGGACAGCTCTGCATTGTCCTCCACTCCTACCCCCTGTCCCTGGCAACCACCATTCTACTTTCTGTCTCCATCAATTTGATGATTTAGATGCCTTCCCTGAGCTGACTTGCCATCTTTGTCCTTTAGTGATTGGCTTATTTCACTTGACATAAGGCCCTCAAGGTGCACCCCTGTTGCAACATGTGTCAGAATCTCCTTCCTTTTTAAGGCTGAATAACGTTTCATCACAGATATACATCACATTGTACTTATTTTTTTTAATCTATTGGTAGATAGTTGAGTTGCTTCTACTCTTTGGCTGTTATGAATAATACTGTTGTGATCATGGGTATACAAATATCTGTTTCAGTCTCTTTTGAGTATATAGCCAGAAGTTAAATTACTGGATCATATGGTAATTCTACTTTTAAGTTTTTAAAGAACTGCCATATTGTTTTTCAGAGCAGCTGTACCATTTTATATTCTCACCAACATGCAAGAGCTTCCATTTATCCACATCCTTAACAAAACTTATTATTTTGGATATATGTGTATGTATGTGTATGTACATATATATGTCTATATTCACTAATACATATGTGTGTATATGTGTGTGTATGTGTGTGTGTGTGTGTGTGTATGGTATTTTCTAATGAGCATATAGCAGTATCTAATTCTGGTTTT